AGACATCCGACGACTTTCAGAGGAACTCAAAGAGAAAGATTCCCTGCTGACTGGCTTTATGGATGTGGCTTCAGTACAAGCCAAACAGATTGTTTCTCTTAGCGCAACCGCTAACATCCAGGACACCGTGTTTTGGGACCCCTCTAGTCTTCCCAGGCTTTCATCCTGCTCGACTCCGAAGCATCAGTCAACCTGGGCTGAAGTGGTGGTCCGTGGCTGCAAGAGAGGCTCGGATGGGGCTGCCTCTCCTCCGGACATCGGCCTCTCCAACCGCTATGCAGCCTTGTCTAACGACACTCCGGTCCATCCAGCGGATTCACCTGCGGCTTCGAGTCTCCCTGATACGGATCTCTTTCGGCGCACAGTGCCTGCCGACACTGTTGCATCTCCGCCACCGGCTACATCTCCTGCACTGGGCCGCCGGTCTGCCGCCGGACTTCATCGGCGGCCGTCATCCCGGTCAAAAACCTCCGCTTCCCGACGTAGGATCCTGAAGGAGGCTGTGCTCAGACGCTCCGGAGGCCGTCTCCACCCTGCACCGTCGGGTAGCCCTTCTCTCAGGTCTGTTACTGCTGCTCCAACACAACACTCAACAGCTCACACACTCCATCCTCAGTCCGCACGCGGTGTTGAAGCAGATTCTGCTCAGTCCTGCTCTGGATCCCAACAACCAGCATCTCCTCGTCCTCTTTTCTCCCCAACCATACTAATAATTGGTGACTCCATAACCAGAAACCTCCGTTTCTTTAACGCTACCACTCGCTGCTTCCCCGGTGCCACCACAGCTGACATTTTTAAAAAACTCCAGGACCTGATGCCGTCGCTCCCGTCCTCCATCACAAGAGTGATAGTCCATGTCGGAACAAATGACACAGCTCTTCGGCAGTCTGAGCTGACAAAATTAGATTTTAACCGTCTTCTTAACTTTTTAAAGCAGTGCGGAAAGTGCGTTTTTATCTCTGGTCCCATTCCCACAGTTGGTCGCGGTGCTGGCCGCTTCAGTAGACTCCTTGGCCTCCACGACTGGCTCCAGTCCGCCTGCAGGGCTCACCGTGTGTTTATGTGGATAATTTTAATATTTTCTGGCAAAGAATGTCTCTTTTTAAGACAGACGGACTTCACCCAAACAAACGGGGCTCAGAAATGTTAGCTGCTCACATACAGCATGTGGTGCGGTCCACACATGACTTACTAATCATTCATGCAGCACACCTGGACGCACCAACACTCACTGAACAGATCTCTGCCTCACTGCCACAAACAACTGTCTCCACCTGCTGGCATGTAAAGCCGTCTGCTCCCAGCGCTGTTCCAAAGACTTCTATTCCTGTAATCATCACGCATAGACCAGTAAACCGAAATGTGCACATCCCACACAGAAATCATAGTAATCTCTTAAGGATTAGGACAACTGCACCAACTCCAGCACCCAGAACAAACTCATTTAAAATGTCTCTCTTCAATGTGAGATCACTTTCAAGTAAGACTTTTATCTTAAATGATTTTATCTTGTCTGCAAATCTAGATTTTATGTTTTTAACTGAATCCTGGTTGCAAATGAATGACTATAGCCAGCTAGCTGAACTGTGTCCGCCTCAATATGATTGTTTTAGTCAACCGAGGGTCAGTGGTCGTGGTGGTGGGCTAGTGAGCGTTTATAGGAAAAATTTAAAATGTCATCAAGTACGCTGTGATGAATTTAACTCCTTTGAAGTTCTCACTCTTAAAGTTGGAGGGCTGCAACCAGTCATATTTGTTATAATTTATCGCCCCCCAAAACCGCCTGGAGGATTTTTATCAGAACTTCCTGAATTTTTATCTACTCTGGTTTTAAATTATGACAGAATTGTTCTTTGTGGCGATTTTAATATTCATGTTGATGACCCCAACAATGTTAATGCAACTGACTTTTTAAATATGGCCACTTCTTTTAACTTCAAACAACATGTCAAAGGGCAAACACATAACCGTGGTCATACACTGGACTTGGTTTTTACCCTGGGTGTCAGCATTTCCTCTGTGGAATTAGTGGACATGACCATATCTGACCACAGATGTATTGTTTTTAGCTGCGATTCGCCTGTTACTCATGCCGCCTCACCAAGCTCCGTGTGTTGTCGCATCTTTAATGAACAAAGTGTTTCAAAGTTTTGCGCATTCTTTCAGAGCCAAAGCCAACACCTGTCTGATTCCAACACCATCAATCTGGTTGATCACTTCAATCATATCTGCTTGTCGTCACTAAATATTACTGCTCCTCTAAAGGTTAGGCCTACGTCTAAAGCTAGTAAACAACCCTGGATAAATGACAGCATTCGCAGCCTAAAAAGGGAATGCAGGAAAGCAGAGCGCAGATGGAAAAAATCCAATCTCCAAGTCCATTACCTCAGTCTGAAGGATTTATTAATTAACTACAATAAAATGGTTAAGGATGCGAGAACACACTATTTTTCTGAACTCATTACTACACATAAACACAATCCCAGGTTTCTGTTTAAGACTGTGGATCAGCTGGTAAACCCAACCCCTCCTTGTGCCTCAGCTGGAAGTAATGATGACTGTGAATTGTTTTTATCTTATTTTACCAATAAGGTGGTGTCAATCAGAGCCTCTATTACCCCCGTGGCCTCTTACTCAGAGGTTCCTCACCAGCAACAACAGAGTTTTAACCAGTTTTATCCCATCGACTTGTCTGAGCTTTTAAAAACAATATCACAAATGAGAGTGTCCTCCGGCCCACTTGATATAATACCTACAAAATTTTTACTAAAAGTAATAGATTCTGTTGGGCCCCATTTGATCTCTGTTTTCAACAGCTCCCTATCTACTGGTTGTGTCCCTGATTATTTTAAAATGGCTTGCGTGAACCCACTTTTAAAGAAACCTGGTTTAGATCCCTCCCTCCCACAAAATTTTAGACCAATTTCAAAACTGCCTTTTATTGCAAAGATTCTAGAAAGAATTGTGTCCAAACAGCTGCTCACTGTGCTGGAAAATAACAAAATATTTGAAAAGTTTCAGTCTGGTTTTAGGAAGTACCACAGCACTGAGACTGCCCTGCTTAAAGTCACCAATGACCTTTTAATGTCTGCTGATGAAGGCATGTGCTCAGTCCTTGTACTCCTGGACCTTAGCGCTGCTTTTGACACCATTGATCACAACATCATGTTAGACAGACTGAGGCACTGGGTGGGGATCTCTGGTACTGCTCTAGAATGGTTTTCATCCTACCTGTCAAATAGGAAGTTTTGCGTGTCTGTAAACAACTATGTCTCTTCATTCTGTCCAGTTAAATATGGTGTGCCTCAGGGGTTGGTCTTAGGACCCATTTTGTTTTCCTTGTATCTGCTTCCCCTTGGACATATTATCCATAAACATGGCATTTCTTTTCATATTTATGCTGATGACACACAAATATACTTGCCCGTCAGATCCACAGACCCTGGAATGCTGAGTTCACTTAACAACTGCCTTTGTGAAGTTAAAAAATGGATGTCAAATAATTTCCTCCAGCTGAACTCAGACAAAACAGAAATCCTGGTCATCGGGTCCCAGCAGATGGCAAATCAAATACTGCCATCTGCTGGTTCCCTAGTAAATCACATTAAGCCTGTGGCAAAGAACCTTGGTGTTTGGTTTGATAGTAATTTAAATTTCGAGCAGCACACCACAAAGCTTGTTCAATCATGTTTTTATCAACTTAGAAATATAGCTAAAATTCGATCTATGTTAACTTTTAAGGACACCGAGACCATTTTACACGCCTTCATCTCATCACGCCTGGATTATTGCAACAGCCTTTTCACCTGTTTAACCCAAAAATCTATTGATCGACTCCAGACTGTCCAGAACTCAGCTGCCAGGCTTTTAACCATAACAAAGAAATATGACCACATTACTCCTATTTTAGCTTCATTAACTGGCTCCCAGTATGTTTTAGAATTGACTTTAAAATTCTATTGATCACTTTTAAAGCTCTTCATGGCCTCTCGCCTTGTTATATTTCTGACCTTTTAGTCCCATACGCACCAGCACGTACCTTGAGATCCTCGGGCAGAGGTCTGTTGTCTGTTCCAGAGTCTCGACTGAAAACTAAAGGGGACAGAGCGTTTGCTGTCAGGGCCCCGAGGCTCTGGAACAGCCTGCCCGAGGAAATCAGGTCGGCTGAGTCAGTGAACTCTTTTAAGTCCCTTCTTAAAACATACTTTTATAGGAGAGCTTTTCCCGATCTTATATGACTTTATTTTATCCCTTTTATTTTATTGTATTTTACTAATTTTATATTAAATTTTCATGCTCTTATCTTTTTTTTTGGATTATTCTTTACACTTGTTAAAGCACTTTGTAACTTGTTTTTGAAAAGTGCTCTACAAATAAGGATTATTATTATTATTATAATAGTAGCATATCGTCTGCGTAAAGATTGACCTCAGTCAGGACCTTCACACTTTCTGTCAAGAGTCAATCAGTGTTACCTTATCAGCTACTTGTTACCTGATGGAAATGATGTCATTTAGTGAATAACAGCACCACAGCAGAGACAAACTCACTATTTGTCAGAGTTGTGAGTGGAAGGAGGGAGGGATTAAGGGAGGAGCAAAACTGGGACTGGGAAAGACACAAACTTTCACAGTGGTGTTTGTTCCAAAACCAGACAGATTCTCTTTCTCTTGAAGATGCTGTCAGTGAACTTCAGTCTGTTTGTGACTTTGTTTCTGCTCACAATAAGAGGTAGGTGAGATCATCAACATTAAGAGAGTTTCAATTATAGAAACCTTTAGATTGTAAAGTTACAGAGTTATCTCTTCCTTCAGGTGTCAGCTGTGAAGAACTCACTCCAGTCAGGAATGAAGAGTTCACTTTAGAAGACAGATCTGTTACTCTGTCCTACACATACTCTAAAAAAGCAAATGTTGGAGATTATTTCTTCTGGTATCGACAATATCCAGGAAAACCACCAGGGCTCCTCATCTCACACTCTGCTTCAGGAGCAGTAGGAAATGATCCAATCCCTGGACGGTCTGCTAAAGTGAGTGATGATAAAACCCAAATGGATCTGCAGATCTCCTCTGCTGCAGTGACAGACTCTGCTGTGTACTACTGTGCTGTGAGGCCCACAGTGACAGGAAACACCAAAACTCTGTGCAAAAACCTGACAGCTCCTATGAAGATTTACACACTCCAGCTCCTCCTTTTACTGAACAGCAGTGCCACCAAGTGGACTCTGACAACACAATCTAATGACAAGTTACAATATTACTCCTGTTATTAATAAAACACAGTTAATCCAGATCATGGTGTTTAATTGAGGCTATTTCTGTACAGTAAGGCACTCCACAAGGAAGTCTTCTTCTACACAGAATGCTTTGGTATCACTGATGATGAGACAAACTAAAATGATTACAGACCCATGTTGATGAATTAACTATTCCAGGGTGAAAGGTGGTTAAAGAGACTTTGTTGTAACAGAAAGTTCACATGTTAAAGCTCCTCATTATGAGCTGCTCTGGATAAGAGCATCAGCTAAACAGCTGAGATGTAAATGAGATGTAAATGTTGAGAGTTCCTCAACAGATGATGAAGAGGAAGGGCCAATGATGTGAAGGCCCAGATCCATCAGAGTATCAATGTTCTTCCTCTCTCTCCTCCCCTCTCACTGCAGATATGAACCACTGGCTGAGAAACATCCTGATTCTGACTCTCTGGCTAGGTAACTCTTTAAACCTACTGATTGTTCTCCTTTAATCAATCATCTTTATTGATCCATCTCTTCCTCTGCATGTTCTCTTCTTCCCCAGAGTGTAAAGGAGAAGACAGAGTGACCCAGCCAGCAGGAGATGTCATTGCTGCTGAAGGAGACACAGTTACACTTGGCTGTACTTTTGAGACGAGTTACACAGGTCCAGCTTTGTTCTGGTACAAACAGGATGGAAACAACAGCCCCAAATTCATGCTGAGTCGCATGCAACAGAACGATGTGAAAACAGAGGATAAGTTTAAGGAGAGGTTTTCATCAACAGTTGATTCCACCTCAAGATCAGTTCCTCTGAAGATCCAGAAGCTTCAGCTGTCTGACTCTGCTGTGTACTACTGTGCTCTGCAGCCCACAGTGACAGGAAACACCAAAACTCTGTACAAAAACCTTTGGAGCAAAGACAACAGAATACTCCACAACGTCCACTAGAAGGAGTCACACTGTTAAACTTCAGTTTATCATACAGTCTGGATTCATTGCACTGATGATGAAAACTAGATGAAAAATGAGGCATTGACAATAAAAGGAGAGTGTTTGTAGCTCTGACATACTGACAATAAGGAGAGTGATGTTATTTATGTAGATAACATATTGTTTAAATTCCTGATAATCTTAACACACCGACATCTTGGTTTCCCTGAATTTCCTGTCGTGAGGTTTCCATCAGTTTTCCTCCATGTTAAGGCAGGACAGTATGGGGAGTCTTCACTGATGCTGCTGGATGTAAAACCCAGTGAGACTCTGTATGTGATACTGGACTGTACTCAGAAACTAGACCTGATCTCAGCATCCAGATGTGGGTTTTGTTAGTGTGAAGGAATATTCCAGTGAAAATGTCTCGTTTCACTATCAAATCCTCTCCACCTGTAAGCTTGAAAGGTGACTCAACAGTTTGTAGCATCACTTTGTTAATTGCTGCTGTAAATCCACAACTTCAGAGATGTGGGGAGGTGATAACGCAGCACAGAAGTAGAGTCTTTAACTATGTTGAGTTTGGAAAATGCTGAACAAACAGATCATCAGCTGACAACTGGATTATGCTGCTGGACTAGTCTGAAGTTTCAGTGGCATCTTTTCTTCTTCTGTGGTCTGATTCTGATTGGCCACTAGATGACACTGTAGCTGCTGTTAATCCAAGCTGAGCCACATTATCAAGTAGGCGGTGCACTACTTCTGCACTGTGTTCAACCATTCTGTCAATAATAACTGCTGCTGTGAAGAGAACAATTCTCAGACTGAATGTTGAACATCAGCTAGTTTCTCCTGTTGATTTAAACCTTGTTGTAGAGATGGAACATTGGCTGGGGATTATTCTTGCTGCTCTTTTCTTTGGTAAGATAGAAAGCACAACATCTTTTTATTCTTTTCTAAAGATTTATGGAAACAGCTGAGCTGTTTGTGTCCACAGAGTAACACTGTACAGCTGCCATTTTCCACTGTCTTCTCCTCTCAGCCTCATGAACAATGTTAGTCTAATGGCTTCATTTGCTCTACTTTTTCCAGGACTAATAGCTGGAGACACAATCTCTCCTGAACGAGAGGAAGTCAGTGAAAGAGAAGGACAATCTGTCACACTCACATGCAACTATCAGACAGCTGCTACCAGTCTTGCCCTTTACTGGTACAAACATCATTCTGACCTTCAGGCACCTCAGTTTATACTCTTGAAAGGAGCAAAATCGTACACAGGTGAACATATTCCTGATAGAAGATATGAATCTGAAACATCAGCAACATCAACTACACTGACCATCAGAGATCTAACCCTGGCAGACACAGCTCTCTACTACTGTGCTCTAGAAACACAGTGATACAAAGTGTAGAAGAGGCTGTACAAAAACCTGAACCCAGATATCTGACTACTCTTCAAAGAGGAGGGAAGTGGTATTCAAACCACAGCTTCATATCAGATGGATTCTGCTAATTCCTGTTTTATCAGAGTCACTGTGGTTACAGCTGCTAATGAAACACTGGGGGAGGATTCACAGGAGCATTATGGGTAGTGAGGGTCTGTACGTTTAACCAGGTTTCGGGCTCCAACAGAAGTTGTGTACAGTTTGCAGATTGGATGTTTCAGACAGGTGTTTGTGTCCTCATTTTAGATTGACATTGTTTCTTTTTTTTTTTTGGGAAAGCAGAACCTGCATTTGTGGTGAGAAAGAAATCAATCTGTTCATTAGTTCATTTGATGAAGTCCTCATCACGGACCAAATGAATGGGGAACCTCTAACGTTTGGGTTTTTTGTTTTGGTTCTGCTTGGTCACGTGGAGCAGGAGAGGAGCATCATCTGAGTGTATTTTAGCCAAATATTTGCATGAGGTAACGAGATGCTCCTTCCCTGCGTGCATAACAAATGTCATCCGGGAGTAACTGTTATGTACGTGTGAATAGAAAGAGTATTCACAAAGAGATTTGTGTCTGACTCTCCACACATCGATTAAATTGAGATCTTCTAGTTCTTTTTTAAGGGCCTTAGCTGCTGAGGATAAAGATTTAGAAGTTGGAGAGGATCTGTCCTTAGCTGGCTCCAGAACCAGGTTAAAGTCTCCTCCGACGATGAGCTAGCCACCCAAGTAAGGTCAAGGAGTACAAAGTTGAATGGCCACAACTCCATTATGAAACACCTCCAGAATTCACTTATATAGTCTAGTGGAAGGGGAACTCTGCTTCTGTAAATTCAGAAGAATAACTCCGAGCAGGTGTCCACAGTCTCTCAAGTAAGTCTTGAGAAGTCCTGAAAGTTCGTTCAGATGACACTATTTGTCGCTGACAGCATTACAAATTACATATAGAACAGAGGGTATGTGAAAATTTGCACTCAGATAGTCTGGTAGGGGAAATAAGAATAAGGTGAAATGAGGATACTGCTAGGCCTTAATTTATCCATCCTGTGACTAGTTGCAGAAGAAAGAAGATAAATAGAACATATCTAGGCTTGGGTTATCTCACATGTAACAGGTTATAGTCCACTCAAACAATAAACAAGAACACTTCCAGGCCATAATGCGACCTGTATGTGCCTAACTGCAGTCACTTAACCAGAGCCCATGATAGTCACGGGTTCATGCCAGTACGTCTGGATGATATTTCCCCAAGTAGTGTCCCGCCCACACGGGGGATGTGATGGTGCACCGTCCCTCCAGGAGGTCCAGGACCAGATTAGTGGGGTGGAGAAGCCTGAAGGAGATGCTGCTGTCATGTAGCTTTTTCTTCCAGCGAAGTGAAGGCTTTCCTTTTCTTATAGAGAGCCGTGGACATGTCCCTGAATATCATGATGTCTGAGTTACCGTACTTGAGCGATCTTTTCTTCCATGCTGCATCGAGGATTTTCATCACGTCTATGGGCGGATAATTAGAGCCCGGGGGAGGCTACCTTCATCGGGTCGCCGCTGGAGTGTAAAGTGAGCTCGCTTGATTTTGAGCAGAGTGTCGGTCTCTTGGTCAAGTATTAGTGAAGTATTAGTATTATTGAAGGATGGCGTTTATCCCTTCCACACCTTCCGGGAATCGAACCAGCCTTAGATTCTGCTGTCTGGCTCTGTTCTCCAGATCGTCTAGCTTGTCTTTAAGACTGCTAATTTCTTTCACTGGTAAGAGTTTCCACAGAGACGCCTAGAGAGTTCAGTTTATGGTCCAGCATGGATTGAATTTTCTCGAACCCTTTTTCCATTTCTTTGTGAAACCAGGTCAGCAGCTTCTCTGTGTTTCCCTCGGGTGAGCTAGCGTTAGCCAAGGCTGATAGAGGGGGCTTTCCACCCTTGTTGCCGCTTCAGCTCTTTTGGGGGGCATTTTTAGCTGAACCGCGTTGGTTTCTATTAGTATGAAGCTGGGGTCATTTCTGTAATTAAGAAACTCAAGATAGGGGACAAGTTAGGGTTTTGTATGGGAGCTGGTTACACTACCTCCGCCCTTCACGCCACCATCTTAAAAACTCCAAAAGGGGAGAATATGACAGATGCAAACAATCGGAGCTGAAAATGGGGATTTATTTTCCTCTCATGATTTGATTTGTCCTCAAATGTGACACAGATGTAATAATGTGAATAATATTATTTAAGTAAAGTACTGAATAAGTAGTTAATGTGGCTTTCATGTGTGACGTAATCTGCACTCTGCGCATGCGTTGGCGTCTGTAGCCACCTGTCGGAAGCTCCGTCTTGAACCGGACTCTTATCCAGTTTTAATCCACTTTTTTCGTTACATTTTTTATATCCTTTTATTTAACTTAACTTTATTTAAGTTTTACGTGGGTTAAGGATTTTAGTCATCCGACATGGATTTTAAGATAGATGACCGTAAAAACGCGATCAACGCTACTGATCGCAACAAAGCTCCGGTGACTATGCAAGCCGAGATAACTCTGCCCCTTGAGGACTGCTCACTCCTTAAGAAAGCGAACAAGAAGATTGCTGACCTTATGGAAGACATCCGACGACTTTCAGAGGAACTCAAAGAGAAAGATTCCCTGCTGACTGGCTTTATGGATGTGGCTTCAGTACAAGCCAAACAGATTGTTTCTCTTAGCGCAACCGCTAACATCCAGGACACCGTGTTTTGGGACCCCTCTAGTCTTCCCAGGCTTTCATCCTGCTCGACTCCGAAGCATCAGTCAACCTGGGCTGAAGTGGTGGTCCGTGGCTGCAAGAGAGGCTCGGATGGGGCTGCCTCTCCTCCGGACATCGGCCTCTCCAACCGCTATGCAGCCTTGTCTAACGACACTCCGGTCCATCCAGCGGATTCACCTGCGGCTTCGAGTCTCCCTGATACGGATCTCTTTCGGCGCACAGTGCCTGCCGACACTGTTGCATCTCCGCCACCGGCTACATCTCCTGCACTGGGCCGCCGGTCTGCCGCCGGACTTCATCGGCGGCCGTCATCCCGGTCAAAAACCTCCGCTTCCCGACGTAGGATCCTGAAGGAGGCTGTGCTCAGACGCTCCGGAGGCCGTCTCCACCCTGCACCGTCGGGTAGCCCTTCTCTCAGGTCTGTTACTGCTGCTCCAACACAACACTCAACAGCTCACACACTCCATCCTCAGTCCGCACGCTTTGAAGCAGATTCTGCTCAGTCCTGCTCTGGATCCCAACAACCAGCATCTCTCGTCCTCTTTCTCCCCAACCATACTAATAATTGGTGACTCCATAACCAGAAACCTCCGTTTCTTTAACGCTACCACTCGCTGCTTCCCCGGTGCCACCACAGCTGACATTTTAAAAAACTCCAGGACCTGATGCCGTCGCTCCCGTCCTCCATCACAAGAGTGATAGTCCATGTCGGAACAAATGACACAGCTCTTCGGCAGTCTGAGCTGACAAAATTAGATTTTAATCCGTCTTTTTAACTTATGAAAGAATTGTTCTTTGTGGCGATTTTAATATCATGTTGATGACCCACAATGTTAATGCAACTGACTTTTTAGTATGACTTCTTGGCCTCCAAACAACTGGCAAAGGGCAAACACTGCCGTGGCATCACTGTTGGTTTTTACCCTGGGTAGCATTTTAATAGTGGTTATCTGTGCCAAGATGTCTCTTTTTAGCTGCGATTCGCCTGTTACTCATGCCGCCTCACCAAGCTCCGTGTGTTGTCGCATCTTTAATGAACAAAGTGTTTCAAAGTTTTGCGCATTCTTTCAGAGCCAAAGCCAACACCTGTCTGATTCCAACACCAACAATCTGGTTGATCACTTCAATCATATCTGCTTGTCGTCACTAAATATTACTGCTCCTCTAAAGGTTAGGCCTACGTCTAAAGCTAGTAAGCAACCCTGGATAAATGACAGCATTCGCAGCCTAAAAAGGGAATGCAGGAAAGCAGAGCGCAGATGGAAAAAATCCATCTCCAAGTCCATTACCTCAGTCTGAAGGATTTATTAATTAACTACAATAAATGGTTAAGGATGCGAGAACACACTATTTTTCTGAACTCATTACTACACATAAACACAATCCCAGGTTTCTGTTTAAGACTGTGGATCAGCTGGTAAACCCAACCCCTCCTTGTGCCTCAGCTGGAAGTAATGATGACTGTGAATTGTTTTTATCTTATTTTACCAATAAGGTGGTGTCAATCAGAGCCTCTATTACCCCCGTGGCCTCTTACTCAGAGGTTCCTCACCAGCAACAACAGAGTTTTAACCAGTTTTATCCCATCGACTTGTCTGAGCTTTTAAAAACAATCACAAATGAGAGTGTCCTCCGCCCACTTGATATAATACCTACAAAATTTTTACTAAAGTAATAGATTCTGTTGGGCCCCATTTGATCTCTGTTTTCAACAGCTCCCTATCTACTGGTTGTGTCCCTGATTATTTTAAAACGGCTTGCGTGAACCCACTTTTAAAGAAACCTGGTTTAGATCCCTCCCTCCCACAAATTTTAGACCAATTTCAAAACTGCCTTTTATTGCAAAGATTCTAGAAAGAATTGTGTCCAAACAGCTGCTCACTGTGCTGGAAAATAACAAAATATTTGAAAAGTTTCAGTCTGGTTTTAGGAAGTACCACAGCACTGAGACTGCCCTGCTTAAAGTCACCAATGACCTTTTAATGTCTGCTGATGAAGGCATGTGCTCAGTCCTTGTACTCCTGGACCTTAGCGCTGCTTTTGACACCATTGATCACAACATCATGTTAGACAGACTGAGGCACTGGGTGGGGATCTCTGGTACTGCTCTAGAATGGTTTTCATCCTACCTGTCAAATAGGAAGTTTTGCGTGTCTGTAAACAACTATGTCTCTTCATTCTGTCCAGTTAAATATGGTGTGCCTCAGGGGTCGGTCTTAGGACCCATTTTGTTTTCCTTGTATCTGCTTCCCCTTGGACATATTATCCATAAACATGGCATTTCTTTTCATATTTATGCTGATGACACACAAATATACTTGCCCGTCAGATCCACAGACCCTGGAATGCTGAGTTCACTTAACAACTGCCTTTGTGAAGTTAAAAAATGGATGTCAAATAATTTCCTCCAGCTGAACTCAGACAAAACAGAAATCCTGGTCATCGGGTCCCAGCAGATGGCAAATCAAATACTGCCATCTGCTGGTTCCCTAGTAAATCACATTAAGCCTGTGGCAAAGAACCTTGGTGTTTGGTTTGATAGTAATTTAAATTTCGAGCAGCACACCACAAAGCTTGTTCAATCATGTTTTTATCAACTTAGAAATATAGCTAAAATTCGATCTATGTTAACTTTTAAGGACACCGAGACCATTTTACACGCCTTCATCTCATCACGCCTGGATTATTGCAACAGCCTTTTCACCTGTTTAACCCAAAAATCTATTGATCGACTCCAGACTGTCCAGAACTCAGCTGCCAGGCTTTTAACCAGAACAAAGAAATATGACCACATTACTCCTATTTTAGCTTCATTACACTGGCTCCCAGTATGTTTTAGAATTGACTTTAAAATTCTATTGATCACTTTTAAAGCTCTTCATGGCCTCTCGCCTTGTTATATTTCTGACCTTTTAGTCCCATACGCACCAGCACGTACCTTGAGATCCTCGGGCAGAGGTCTGTTGTCTGTTCCAGAGTCTCGACTGAAAACTAAAGGGGACAGAGCGTTTGCTGTCAGGGCCCCGAGGCTCTGGAACAGCCTGCCCGAGGAAATCAGGTCGGCTGAGTCAGTGAACTCTTTTAAGTCCCTTCTTAAAACATACTTTTATAGGAGAGCTTTTCCCGATCTTATATGACTTTATTTTATCCCTTTTATTTTATTGTATTTTACTAATTTTATATTAAATTTTCATGCTCTTATCTTTTTTTTTGGATTATTCTTTACACTTGTTAAAGCACTTTGTAACTTGTTTTTGAAAAGTGCTCTACAAATAAGGATTATTATTATTATTATAATAGTAGCATATCGTCTGCGTAAAGATTGACCTCAGTCAGGACCTTCACACTTTCTGTCAAGAGTCAATCAGTGTTACCTTATCAGCTACTTGTTACCTGATGGAAATGATGTCATTTAGTGAATAACAGCACCACAGCAGAGACAAACTCACTATTTGTCAGAGTTGTGAGTGGAAGGAGGGAGGGATTAAGGGAGGAGCAAAACTGGGACTGGGAAAGACACAAACTTTCACAGTGGTGTTTGTTCCAAAACCAGACAGATTCTCTTTCTCTTGAAGATGCTGTCAGTGAACTTCAGTCTGTTTGTGACTTTGTTTCTGCTCACAATAAGAGGTAGGTGA